AATATAATCTCCCTCCTCACTCTCCTTAGAGTCTCTAATGACCCAGGCCATGCCCTGCTTTCCATAGACCCTGGATGTGCACAGATGACCCTCGGAGAATGAAGAGGGAGCTATAAGAGGTTTCAGAAAAGATGGCATGTTTGTATGCTCCTTTGTGCCAGCTCCTCCCTGGCTAAACCCAAGATCGCTTCAATCTACTCAGTGCATCTGCCTGCTTCAGGATCAAAATGTCCATGGAGCTTGGAGGCAGAGAACATGGCAGGCCATCAGTGTATGTAATAGAAAAGATACTCCGCGCCCTCCGGGTATTAATATTTTGGAGTGATGGGGCAGAAGGTGGGGCATAAAAAAAGATTGGAAGGAAGAAGGTTACATTCACATATCCGATGCCATTGTCTGCATCTTTCAATGGATTTATGTTGGTTACAGGGAGTTAATCTAGTTCCCTCCCACATTCCAGTGAGCTATAACTTGATACAGAGAGCCAGTGTGTTATTCCAGGACTGTAGCACAGACAGTGACTATAGCCTTGACATCAGCAAATAGAATTGACTTAGGGGCATGATTTTATTCTGCCTACTTTGAAGTAAGATCACAAAAGCCTTTCTCTTGACATCATATAGTTAGATGATGGCTGTCAGCTATTCAGTAAACAGAGCTGTCTGCTTTGGATACAGGCTTCTAAGCCCCTCTCTGGTCCTATATACCTGTTAGCATCCTTTCAGATTCAAAGCTGCAGGGAAAATACTCTTGTTGTGTTACTACTATGTTGTGCCTTTGAGACATTTTATAAAGATTGGCATTCCACCTTATAACCCTTCTATGAGAAAAGTATTGCTTCCCCCATTTCATAGGGAAGAAATTAAAGTTCAGGGAGGAAAATAAAATCACACAGCTGTCCAGTGGCCAGGGAAGTTTTATTAGAGTTTGGATTGTCACTGGGTGGGTTGGCATGGGGCTCTTACCACCCACACAGCAACTCCAAAGTTTCTCTGTAAACGTCTTTATCTCTAATATAAACAACCACCCTCCCCGCACCCCCAAAAAACAACAAAAAACTGTAAGTGGTGTCGTTTCTTTCTTATATGGCTCAAATAATTAAAATTTTCGGTAGGTATACAACAATCTTATAAACAACCACCCCCCCCCAAAAAAAAACAACAACAACAACAACAAAAAACTATAAGTGGTGTCGTTTCTTTCTTATATGGTTCAAATAATTAAAATTTTCGGTAGGTATACAACAATCTATGAGTTTTTTAAAAATTAAGTGCTCGCCTTCAATCTTTTAATATAATCTCTCCATTTCTTCATACATATGGGAGATAGTCAGAATCCTATAAGCCATGATATTTAACATTTAGTTCCCCTAGAATGAGAGGAGGTGGCATTTTTATTCTTTGCTTATTTTGTTGTTGTTGCTTTCATTGGGGTTATGATATATATGACTTTTTCATTATATTAAGTATTCAAAAATGAAGTTCAAAAGTTCAATCTACTTTCAGTGCAAGGCCCTCTAACGAATTGATAGGCCACTGTGAGATTTGGGAGTTTAGGGTATGATTTTGAATAGGTGCTTTTCCTGAATTAAATTCACATAACAATTTTTCAGAAGCTGTTTTAAAAGAGCACACAAGTAAGCTCAGCATTTTGGTGTAATTTGACAGCATCGTGTCTAATGGAGAGCTTGGAACACTGAGCACAGTACGGTTCAATCCTAATGTCTGTGTTTATCATGTCTTCCAATGAGTTGGTTTGCTGAAAAGAGAGACTGCAGTAATATATTTAATGTGGAATCTAGAACTCCAGAATTTTCTTCATGCCTAATATTTAGCAATATTAAATTTACCATATATTACAAACATGATTTTAAATCATTTCTGTGTTGAATAATGGAAGAAAATTATCCTTTATATTTAGGGCAGCAGAGAAAATTTACAAGATACCAAGATGTTTATGTATTACTTGAACTGGTAATTTACATTTTAGCAAAACCAACAGATTAAGACATAAAAATAATCCAGCTATTTGGTGTGGTGTTCCTGTTATTTCATGGCTGTTTGATGTCTGGAGATTTTTTTGCATGTTTGTTTTTAAGCTAAATTGACTTGCAGGGTCTTACTGGGACAAAGCTGATGGTTACCTATTTGAGCGGCTTTGGGGTATTCACCAGTGTGGTTGATATTTGGCTACATCCTTTCCTTATCTTTATGTCCTTTGTCTGCAGCCCATTTGCTGCATAGCAATGCTAGCTGGAGAATAGGTAGGAATTCAGAGAGGATTAATCAACCCAGGAGAAGTTTATGAGCATGCATATGATAAGTTGCTTAAAAGTAGGTGGCAAAACTCAGGGAGATGTATAAGGCTTAAAGCCACAGGTCCACAGTTTATCAGAACATTCTAAAAAAAATTTTTAAGTGGGGCACTTGGTTTATTTCTGATGCAGTGACTCTCAGTACAGTGGGCTGAGGGTCGGGGAGGAGGGCTACTGGGAAGGCCTTGTCCTGCATGGACTAATGTCCAGTGCCTGGTGCCAGGCATACGTCCCCTAAAACCACTCTTGCATGGCCATTGAGTGAAGGTGGGGATCGGGGTCTCCTGGAGGTCAGGCATGCCTCTTCCTTGAGCTGGTCCTGGCTGCTGCTGAAGTAGCATAGCACTTGCACCCGTCGAAAGAATTCCTCACCCACCGGCAGACACTGCCTCCTGGGGCAGCTAAGCCAGATCAAGGTAGACAGGGGAGCCAGGTGAGGCCTCCAACCCACTGGCTGTTGCTGGCTGACTGGGATGGGTCTGGGGACTTTCTGGGCAGGGGTGCCAGATCTCTCTTGTCACTGGGATCGCTCTGAGAACTGAGTGGTAGACTGGCCCAGGTAGCCCCTTGGTCTTGGCAGTGATCACTGGAGTGGGTTTGAGGTTGGCAGTGCTGGGGGTGGGGCGAGCCAGGGACTTGTGGGTACAGTCTAGGACAGAGGTGACACGCGAACTCATTTTTTTGGTTGATTTTTCTTTGTTAAATGGCATTTAAATATATAAAATAAATATCAAAAATATAAGTCTTTGTTTTACTATGGTTGCAAATATCAAAAAATTTCTATATGTGACACGGCACCAGAGTTAAGTTAGGGTTTTTCAAAATGCTGGCACGCCGAGCTCAAAAGGTTCGCCATCACTGGTCTAAGCTCTCTGTCAGCTGGTCTGTTTGGGGGCAGCAGCTGGAGATCCACCATGCAGCTGGGGGACAAGGTGGGCAGTGGTGGGGGACCTTGAGTCAGGCAGCTCTCCATGTCCTCGTCTGAGTCTGCAGTGCCAGGGGCAGCAGGCAGGGGGTCTGAGTCAGGCATTGTGGGCAGGGACTCGCTGATGGACGTGCTGCTGTCACTGGAGCTGCCGGGGCATGTGGGGACCGTCACCATAGGCACGGCCTAGCAGTGCTCAATCTCACAGGGAGACAGTAGGCACATGTCCACATTATGGGGGAGGCCAAGCACCCACTCGGGGGGTGGGGGGTGGGGCTGGAAGTGATAGGCTCAACCCTGCCTCACTCATGGTGACAGGGGGCGGTGGTACCACCTGTTCGAAGGAGATGGACAGGGACTTGTCCACTTCTGTGGAGCTCAGGAGCTCACTTAGCAGGCAGGGAAGGCATGGTCGCCATGGGGGAAGGCCTTAGTTCTTTCAAATTTAATTCAGGTTTCATTTATTGGCAGTTAGTATGAGGTCATGCCATGTAGTAATTTGTGGCTTTGCTGACAAGATGCTTTGGGATCATGTCTCTATTAGGCAGGTATGCATGAGCCCAACATGCATGAGCTCAACTGAGGCTATGCATTGTGCTGCTGACTTGAAATGTCATCAGCCATGTGTTGTAGCCATTACTGGTGTTCGTTTGACAGAGTGGAATATTATGGGAAGCATTTTCTGTACAACTGTGTAAATCAAATTGAGTATAAATCATATCTTCTTGAAGATAATCACATACCAAAAAATGAGAAGCTTCTGAGTTATTATTTGTCTAGAGTCTTGGATAGTTTCTTCAATGTATATAAGCAAAAATATAGATTACTGGCTCTAACAAAGTTTATATTCTAGTTGTACATTTCATATAATTTACTGCAAAGTTCATATAAATGATTATAATCACATCGTTACACATTAGTGAAGTACTCCATTGTTTTCATTTTTCATTGTATTAGGCATTAAGAGTAAAATTTAAAAAAAAACATTATCATTACGATAAGATTTATCATTGATGACTTCCTGGAGGAAGAGAACTTTGAAACAAATCATATTTCTATCACCTGTTGAAGGGTATTCACATGCTCACAATGTGGTCTTGTGCAAAAAGACAGCCTTAATGGTAGATGAATTCAACAGTAAACTCAGTAACCTGGTGGTAGGATTTCACAAACAGGGACAGTCTCCATTCCAGTGTCTGAAGTTCTCCTCATGGTTTAGATCTGTTATGAGAAACTGTTTCCCCTAGGACAAGGCAATCCTGAGGCTGGTTCAGGTATTTACCCTTGAGGTTGAATTTTTTTTATTTATTTCAAAATATTAATACAGTGTATTTAGTTATTCTTCCCCATTACCTTTTATCCCCTCTATGCCTTCTTCCACCTCCACCCATCTCTACCACCCAAAGTTGAATGTCTTTAGATCCTTTATTTAAAAGGACATAATTAGTTTGGGTCCTGGGCTTGCCAGATATAATTTGACGACTTTACATTTTCAGAGGTATTATTGGAGTGAACAGATATTAATGAGGATCATAGATATGTTGTCTGTTTTAACAATTGGACTTCCTAAATAATACAACTTTACCCACATTTGCAGATGGGATTAAGAAATGCTTGACTATAATTAAGGGCAATTTCCATAAGTACCTTCTCATTCAAGTTTAGCAGAGAAGCTGGAATAATTTCAGAAAACGATTATATTATTTGCCTTATCTTAGATCAGGTTTACCAACATTAATCTTTTTTTTTTCCTCCCTTCAGATGTACATCCAAACAACAACACTTACTGTCTCCATGAGTTTAAGTGCTTCGGTGTCTTTGGGCATGCTCTATATGCCCAAGGTTTATATTATAATTTTCCATCCAGAGCAGAACGTTCAAAAACGCAAAAGGAGCTTCAAGGCTGTGGTGACGGCTGCCACCATGCAAAGCAAACTGATCCAAAAAGGAAATGACAGACCCAATGGCGAGGTGAAAAATGAACTCTGTGAGAGTCTTGAAACCAACAGTAAGTCATCCGTAGACTTTCCGATGGTCAAGAGCGGGAGCACTTCCTAATAGATGTACGTTGAACATTCTTCTACTCGTCTTGGGGACTGCGCCACATGGCTCCAGGGGCATGACGGTACTTGCACACCATGTGACCATCATGGCTGTGAGACCCATTTGGTTCTGACCAAATGACTTCAAGGTTCATGGCTCTTCTGAGGAGCATAAACATGCACACACGATCTCTTTTCAGCGTGTGACACTCAGGTCTCTCTTTGGAGGCATTACTGAGCTTGGGACTATCTTCTAAATATAAAAATTATCTTTTAGCCCTAACCAGTTTGGCTCAGTGGATAAAGCGTTGGCCTGCGGACTGAAAGGTCCCAGGTTCGATTCCGGTCAAGGGCATGTGCCTGGGTTGTGGGCACATCCCCAGTAGGAGGTGTGCAGGAGGCAGCTGAACAGTGTTTTTAACTATCCTTCTCCCTTCCTCTCTGTAAAAATCAATAAAATATATATATTTTTTAAAAATTATCTTTTAATAATTAGGAACAAATCTTTAATCTTTGTTAGTTCATTATTTGTTGCTCTTTATAGAATTAATAGCTACCTAATATTTATGGGACATACTAGCAAAGATCTTACACAAATAAGTGTCTTTTGGAGATGTGGGGAAATATGAAAGCTGGTTAACCGACATGTGATGTTAAATGATAGTTAATACTTGTTTCCCCCAAGTGGTCCCCTTCTTTGGCTTCCTTTGACTTCCCTCCTTGAATAAATTAAGATAATTAGAGCTCTCGCCTGAAAGCCTCATGACCCTGAAAATAGAATCTTTTCTACAACCACCACTGTGCTTTTCCCTTCCTCATCTACCTTCCACAGTCCAGCCCTAAAGGAGCACACGATAGTGAGACACTGGTACCAAGGTAATCCAGGAGAGTTTATCTGATCTATGCAGTTCTTCTTGGTACCTATGGAAGAGCAGCAAATAGATTGAAGATTTGTATTATAAAAATACCAGAAAGCTGAGTATGGTTAAAACTAACAAACAAAAGTAACCAACATCACAGTACTAGTTCTGTAGATGGATCAAAAATAAATAAAAGCTAAGGCATTTGAATTAGAGTGGCTTCCTGTCTTTTGGGAATCCAACATGTGTATTTAATAATTCAGGCTAAAATCCTGTGCAAAATTAACTGTCTTCCTCTCAGACTCCTCCAGCAGGCTGTCTCCCCTATTCTCTGTACTTCTGACATGAAATTCAGGGAAGATTTAGAGTTGATTTTTTAAAAATATATTTTTTATTTGATTTTTTACAGAGAGGAAGGGAGAGGGATAGAGAGTTAGAAACATCAATGAGAGAGAAACATCGATGAGCTGCCTCCGGTACACCCACTACTGGGGATGTGCCTGCAACCAAGGTACATGCCCTGACCAGAATCGAACCTGGGACCCTTCAGTCCGCAGGCTGACGCTCTATCCACTGAGCAAAACTGGTTAGGGCTTAAGAGTTGATTTTATCTGACTTAATTATTATAACAACTTCTAGTCTTCACTAGATTTATAAACATCAAGATTTCCAGATGAACATTGTCTACTCTAAATGCCCCATATGCAGAAATATCCTTAGAAGATAAGTATTGATTAATTAAACTTATTGGCTTCAATTACTATCAGACTTCTTGGAATTATTAGCCAGATCTAGTGAAGATTACCTCCACTAATACCAAATGTAGTCACTTGTAGAGAAATAAACTTTTTAATAAATCTACAGACACTCCCCACATATTCACCTTTCTGCAAATACGCAACCTTGAGAAACTGCAAGAAAAGACATGACAAGGATGGGTTAGGATAAAACATTATTACAATCATCACTGATTATAGGTAAGCAATTTACTAATAATGGGCCTATTTGGTCTCTTAGCCAAAGATGTCCTATAGCTACTCTCAACGCAATCAGAGTATAATATTTGTGATTTAAGGGCAGAATTTTATCTGTTTTTTGCCTTGAAAGCATCAGGGCAGGAAGTTAAAACCTATTGTAGAATGCCAGGAAACTGCTGTTAGCCAATGATACATTTTGAACACTGACACTTCTATGATCTACCAGAATCTATAAATGGGCTTGTTTTTTAGTCTTAATCCAGAAAGCTTTATATGATATGGTTGCAAATAGGAACAACCAAAGATACAGTGAAATAAATGCCAGTGATCTCAGATTCATCTCTGGACTCTAGTGAGAAAAAAAACAAACATCAGCTTTTCCCCAACCTTTCAAAAAGTAAGTGGGTTTCTTGAAGAGGAAAATGTTGAGTATTGCTAAAGACTAATCCCATAGTATAGAAATAAGTCTCATACATTTTCTTTCCCTTTTATTTTTTTCTGTTGATGATGAAATTATCAACATAAATTATATAACATGTGTGCATTTCCCTGTTTTCTCTGAAATAAGAAAGATCGCAATTGTGGGATATGTATAGAAGGTAAGCCTATAATATTCTTGAGGAGTTGATACTCACTTTTAGAATATAAAGAAAGTTTAAAGGGTGAATCAAGATCAAGTCAATTACTACCTAAATGAAGGTTAAATTATACTTTGGAGATTTGAGTGTATCCATCTTTTTTTTTATAGGAAAAGATGGAAATTTATTGAGAAGCAAGCACAGACTCCCACGTGGGGAGGCGGAGAGAGTCCCCCCCAATTTTTTAAATATATTTTATTGATTTTTTACAAAGAGGAAGGGAGAGGGATAGAGAGTTAGAAACATTGATGAGAGAGAAACATTGATCAGCTGCCTCTTGCACACCTCCTACTGGGGATGTGCCCACAACCAAGGTACATGCCCTTGACCGGAATCGAACCTGAGACCCTTCAGTCCACAGGATGACGCTCTTATCCACTGAGCCAAACTGATTAGGGCAGACTGTATCCATCTTTTATAGGAGTAGTTTGGGTTTGAATAAGTTGTGCCCAAAGTTTGCACATTCACACATCCTTGCACAGTCCCACTCCAGGTAACCACTGCTAACCTTTGTCCACTTACATGACTAGTATTGTGAACCCCTGTGTCCCTGTTATCTTTACTACATGTACCAGTAGTTTTAATGGGGTCAAAAGTCTTCTAAAACCACAAAACCTCTAAAAGTCTCAATAACTTGAATACGTAAATGCAATATGTCTTCTGAAAGTATGTCTTATGTCTATAGAAGTGTAATTAAGTACTAGAAAGGCCTTTGCCATTTAACTAGTACCATCCCTCTTCAGACTGAAACACCTCTTCTTGAAATGGGTGGAGTCTATTCTCAATAAATCCAGGGCTGATTAGTGCACTGATACAGCATCTGTGTTGCTGCATTCTCACACTTTCTGCTACCAGACTTTTGATAAATCACCACAGTGAAGTGACAGTGACATTCGTGACAGTGTTTTGTAAACTATAAATCACCATCTAAAGGTAAATATATCATTGTTGCCCTGAAAATATAGATTGGTCTGTGGTTAATAGAAAAGAGAAGACATAAAATTCAAACACTGTTGTTTTAGCAACCCTCTTTCTTTTTATAAACATGTTGAGGATTTTGATGATTATGACTATGGTTCTATTCTTGGGATTTTTTTCCTGACAAATTAGCTGTGGATTTATGATATGCATGCAATCATTTTTTTCCTTCGTGGCCATGGAGCAGCTCTACCAGTCCATTATCTGTAGAAACTTCATCTTAATGATGACTTGTTAATGCCAGGAATTCTCGTCACAGATTTAAGGTTTTAAAGCTTCACCATGCAGAAAAAATATAAGTGATGTGAGGCTGGAAAGGAGAGCATCAGGTCCATGTTACTTACTAAATTTGCAGAATCCTACATGCTAAACAAAACGGGTCCTATTGTTTCCTAAAAATTTGGGAAGGGAGTTAGAAATAGAGTTGATATATATGAATTGTATCAACTGTATCCAACTAACAAAGACTGTCACATGATACTCCTTAAGCTATGTTCATGCATAATTCATAAAAACAGCGACTGCTGAAGGTAGATCTGCTTTCTCTAGCTTATGAGCACAGTGTGGTGTGCACAGGAAATTCATTGTTACTGTATCCTACTATTTTTCACATAAGCATATTCATTACCTCTGTAAAAATTATCTCTATTAACTCATCTGTACATCTTTCATCAATTTCACTCTGTAATACTTCTGGGATAAAGATCCTTGCCATTCATAAGATTTGTGCTTTATCATTGATTTCATATTGACTAAATCATTGGTTTGCAGAGCCCTGCACTCCCTTTTCTATACATTAGAAAAATTAAGATTGCTTTCCCTTTGTAAATTGTAGTCTCAATTCTCAATAGAATTCTATCTATCATCTTTTCCCTTGGAGATCACTTCTAGGAATTCAAAAAATGAAGTATGGATCTTTAACTAGCTATGGGCTTTAAGTTGGAATGATCCTTAAAGATGGTCTCATCTAAATCATTTTATGTTGAATTAACATCTAAATATCATCTTCCTCAAGACCTTTCTTGGCTATTGTTCTTATATTTCAACCATAATTTTTATTTACAGCTACAATAAAATTTGATAACTATTTTATATATTTTTAGTTACTGTTGAATATATTGAATAAGGCATGCAATTGAACAACCTTTTTAAGGGTTATTTTCTAACTCTTATGACAATTTTTCTTTATCTTGCCCACATAGTTTTATGGAAGGCCTTCAAAAACATAGTTGAAGATTTTATTTTCTTTTAAGAAATTTAGAGACATCTGAGAGCATCATATAAATTAGAAATAAAAATAAAATAAAAAAGCAAGCAAGCATAAAAATCATTATGTTTCACTTGGAAAAGTAAGTAAAAAAATAAGATTCTGTATTGATTCCTTAAGACACCAGCTGGTCCTCCACAAACCTATTTCTGCTTCCATACTCACAAATCTGCTTCCATACTCATGAAAAAAACACAATGTTTTATGTTTTTGACCAGTGATGAAACTGAGAACCAGTGAACTTTTTTTTTCTTATTGTGCAAGAAACAATATAATTTAAAACCAGGTCTAAAATCTACTTCCTTTCCACTGTGCCACAAAAATAACCTAGAACAATATAGATAAGATAAGCAGATATGTCACCTATTTTTGGTATGAAGCTCATAATATTCAATGATATTAAACATAGCAAAAATATTAGCACTTCTTTGGGCTATCTATGCTAATCTTAGTGATGGTGAACTTGGCATGATCTCAGGCTCTAGTAAGAGTTTACCTGCTCAGTCACCAGGGGTGATGTCCACTAAAATGGAATGAGCCTGATTGCCAATTATTTAAGAGGAAGAGCTTTACAATTTCCTTATTCAATGTTAAAAAACTAAATTATTCACGTTTTTACTTTAAATATTTTTTTATTTTTTATTCAGTTGGCATACAGTATTATATTAGTTTCAGCTGTACTGCCCAGTGATTAGATGTTACATAATTTACTACGTGATTATCCTAATAAATCCAATACCCATCTGATACCATACATAGATATTATAATACTAGAGGCCCAATGCACAAAATTCGTGCAAGAGTAGGCCTTCCTTCCCCCGGCTGCTGGCACTGGCTTCCCTCTGGCACCTGGGACCCAGGCTTTCCTCTGGCTGCCAGCAGGCACCCAGGACCTGGGCTTCCCTCGCAACTCTGGCTTCGTCCAGAAGATCATGTGGAAGGACGTCTGGTCTAATTAGCATATTATGCTTTTATTATTATAGATTATTGACTATATTCTCTATGCTGGGCTTTAAATCTCTGTGACTAGTCTGTAACTACCAATTTGCATTTCTTAATCCCTTCATTTTTTTCCTCCCATCCATTCAACCCCTTTCCATTTGGCAACTATCAAAATGTTCTCTGTATCTATGAGTCTTTTCTGCTTGTTCGTTTATTTTGTTCTTTAGATTCCATATATAAGTTAGATCATATGGCACTGTCTTCTTCTGTCTAACTTATTTTACTCAGTACAATACCCTCGAGATCCACCCATGTTATTGCAGATGCCAAGATTACATTCTTTTTTAGGGCTGTGTCATATATATATTCATGTATCACCTCTTCTTTATCTATTCATCGACTTATGGACACTTAGATCACTTCTCTATCTTTGCTATTGTAAATAATGCTGCAATGAGCATATAGATGTATATGTCTTTCAATTTCGAATACATACCCACAAGTGGAATTGTTGGGTCTTTCTTTGTCTATTACGTAGCATTTGTTTTAAAGTCTATTTTGTCAGCTTTTGTTATTTCATTTCCATTTTCAAGAAATAGCTTTTCTAACCCTTTACTTTCAATATGTGTGTATCTTTTGATCTGAAGTGAGTCTCTTGTAGACAGCATATGTAAGGAAGAATCTTGTTTTGTTATCCATTTAGCCTCCATATAACACTAAATTATTCTTTAAAAATCTGTTTCATCCTGAATTAGATCTATGTAGTGAAACACATACACATTTTGCATTCTTTCCATATATTTCTTCAGATTATTCATTCCAGAATTCCATAGAAAAATAGGACATCACATTTGAATTTTAGAACAGAGATTTATTTATTCCATCATATCTTTCAAAAACCCAAAGGAATTCTTTGGATTTAGATTTAGATTCTCTGGAAATGCAAGCATGAGTACAAATTGGACTTAGAATATTTTCTTATTCATATATTTGTAAAAGTCTTACAATAATGAGTTTTACATTATAGTAAGTTGGTACTAATATAATTAAATATTAATTCCTTCTTTGAGTCTATTTATTTTTTAAACATCTCCATTTGTATCCGTTGGATGAAAGCAGATCATAAATATGTATTGGCAATACACATATTTACTTTAATATTTATAAATATTCTATGCACTTGATATTTTACTATGTTTCTTTTTAGAGTCTAAAAGCATTATTTTAAAATGGAAGATATATTCATTTTCAAAGTACAACTAATTATAATTAGTAACCCTTTTTGGTCATCAAAGCAGACTCAAAGAATTTAACTGAGACTGTAATAAGTTTTTTTTAATATTACAGGATAGATAATTTATTTGTTCTTTCATTTTTCATATTGCAAATCTTTATTAATCAAAATACACATACAAATTAAATTTTACCCAAGTTTATTAAAGATCAGAACTGTTACATTTTTAATTTTCTGCTAAATACCTATACCATAAGTGAGGCTAGTTGTTTTACAGATTAAAATTGCTGCAGCATTTTTATTCCTACAATCATTGATTTCCTTCTACATGGTCTAAAAATAATAAGTAACATAGTACAAATTGAATATTATAACAATAGTCATTATGGAGTTTGAATTTTAAAAACATTTTGTAAAAATAATTTATTATTATATACTAGTAATTTGTCTTAATTTATCTTAACAGCTTCCTCTACCAAGACAACATATATCAGCTACAGCGATCATTCAATCTGAGACAGGGAAATGACACAATATGAAGAAATCTGGTATGTGATCTCAAACAACGAACATGACACCACTAAGACTCACTCCTGGAGATCTCTTTGGACTACAGTCAATCAAATCAATAGTCAATCTTGTGAGGAACAAAAAGTAGCCATGAGCCCAAAATATCAACAACAGAGAGTGAAGAAACCCATTTTAGACAATCCAACCAATGAAGTCTCAAGCTAAAGTATTGCTTACTCATGAGCAGTTAAAAATAAATCACAAACGGAAAACTAATGTTAGCTTGTGAAAAAAAAAAAATGCTGTTGAAATAAACCATGTCTGATGTTACTCTGTAAGTATTTTTCTGTGATTGTGAGAACTCCTGTTCCTGTGCCACATTGTTCACTTGTATAAGACAATGAATCTGTTTCTTGTAATGGCTGATGGATTGAAGCCCTGGGCTGTGCTCAAAATAAATGCAATGGTTGACGCATGCAATTTTTTATACAAATAATTTATTTCTAATAATAAAGGAATGTTTTGCAAATGTTGAGAGTTGTTTCGTTCCAGTTTTAAAGCCAGGGAAAACTCCAGTTGGCACTTCTGCTGTCACCTAACTAAGCCCAAGGAAGTACGGTTTTTTGTGAAGAATGTGTTTTTGTACACTCATGTGTATATGAAGAAGACTGCCTTTTATTCCTATACGAAAGAGAATTGTTTGTGGAAGATTTTGTGGATATATCAAGATTTATGTGGTCGTTTTTCATAATAATTGCTTCTTTTATGAAGAATCAAGCAATAGCTCAAGGGGAATTGCTTCAGGTTTCAAAATTAACAAATGATGAAATGTGTTATGAAAATCACCATTTTAAAGTAGATCAGAGTGTCACTGAAATTTTCTGTTTTCTAAGTCAGAACTTTTGCTTCATGAAGTATTCCAAGGTATGTATTATTAATCTTTTCTCACCTGGGCCCAGAACCCACTGAAATCGGTGAAGTAATGGGCCTTACCCAGTACATTCCTCAAAGCACAGAATTAGCATATTTAATCTCTTGGCATCACTACAGAAACCACAGTTCAGATAATATGTCAGTGCTTTCTTATTTTCCAAATGAAAACATTCATTGGTTCATAGAGCAGTGTCATTAAAGAGAGAGAGAGAGTACTGGGAGCTTGTGTCATGCTAATAAACCATGCTAGGATGGATAAAGGAGCCTGTTAAAGGCTTTCAAATCTGTTCCCATTTTCATAGAGGGCTCCTCTATTCTACACAATCCCAGAAATCCATCAAGTCAATGGGTCTCTACAATCATTTTGTTAGTAAATGTTCTCTCCACTGAGTTAGGTTGGATGGCTCATTGCTCTCCTTATAGATATAAAGAGCTGTAAGTGCTCTGTAGCTTCAACCCAAATATCGACAGTCACTTTATTTAATAGAGAGTTGAAGTAGCACAGTGCTGGCTCCTTCAAAATACAGTAACACTTCCTAGATGCCTACACAGACAGAAATCAGCAGACAAGGCTTTTGGGTCTTTTGTTGAGTTTCTTCTAACAGTATTTGTTGTTTGTAGATAATATTTAAATCAAGGAGTAAGGGCATTATTTTAAAATTTTCAATAATCCAAATTACTGGTTAATAAACCCTATAATCAGGATCCTAAGCTCACCTCTAGGTGTGCCTTTTTAGATAAGAACTTAAAAGAAAATAAACATAATTGCACATTTAGCATATTTTATTGTGCCATTGTAGCTCAGAACCAATAGCCGTACCATGAAGTAATTGCAATCGTTCTTTGCATTGGAGATTATTAGTGGTTTTTAAGTTTATTTTTATCTTAATTTTAACTAGTAAGTATCCATGTTTGGTTGAGAAAATGCTTGAATTTTGCAAGACTTGCATATTTTTCAGAGAACAAAATTCAAGTATATTTTCATGTTTTCATTTACTAATTGACTCTAATCAGGGTAAGGGGAGGTAACAGGGTGATTATGAGAGTAAAACTGGCTCCCAGGCTAAAGGTGGGTTGTTGTTGTTTTTTCTTTTAAGGTTTTAGGAAAAAAATAAAATATTGAGCATAACTCATGGCATTTCAAAATCGTTCTTCCTATTACAAACTTACCAATGAGTTGTTTTTTCCTAAGTACTTTTATAAATAGTTGATTCCTGTTTTGTGTTCTTCAAAATCTTATTTTACTTATAATCGAGTTGAATAATAGTTGTGGTGGATTTACATATGCCAATCATCCTTTATAACATTATATCAGTGGGAAACTTTCTCTTTGATGAAACTATAATCCTCCCCAGGCAGTGGGAGGATAAACTCCCTCAGCCTCTTACTGTAGGAGCTGGAGAATTCTGACCTCCACTGTGGTTACTTTCTCAGGAATTTTGCTATGGGCTCCAGGGGTGGTCATATAGGCTGTGACAATGTGGGGAGGCATCCTGTAAGGAGAAGGATTTAGCATGTGCTAGTAGTGGTTCCTAAATCCCATACTTTAAAATAGACTGCCTGTGTACTATAGATAAGCAAATAAAAATCGCATGGAAAATATAGTATTATATTTTTTAGAATTGACCTTGTGTTTTATTATGGCCAAGAAATGTCACATCTAATCTCAGCATGCCAGAGGAAATGCTAAAAATGTAGCCCAAGGTAATATTCAACAAATGTCACTAGTAGAAGATGAGCGATATATTAGTGTGACCTTGGGCCAAATCTGATCTCAATTTTTAAAAGTTTTTAGCATATACTAGTTAATATTTAAAGGTGTCTAAAGCAATGATGGTTGATCTGTCACAAACCAATTTTCTTGTTAAGAAAAAAACACTCATAAATTTAAACTTGATGGATGACCCATTGGAACATGAACAGGAACTGAATTGCTACCTTAATTTTTAGTGTTTATAAAAAAGTTTACCAAAACAATATGGCATGTCAGATGAACGGGATTTTACATTTTTTATTTGAATTAAATATCATATTACAGGAACTCTCACTAGGAAGGGAAGTTTGTGTTATTTATATTTTCTTTCCTTTTGCCTCTATTTTCTCTATTATTTACCAATGATGGCATAGAAAAATATTAACAATTTTCTAAATTATATTAGTCAACACTGATATTTATTAAGTAGAAAGTGAAAAATAATGGTATTTCTAAACTCTATTATGCAACCTTACCAACTTTTCTCATTTCATTTATTTAATCTCTTTTAATGCCAGTATTTCCATCCATCTTTTAGAATAAAATAGCTAAAAATAACAGTGAGCTTGCATGAAAGGATAATTAAGAAATAATAACAAATTGTAGAATACTCTAATCATATATAATAATCTTCAGATATAATTCATTTTGCTTTTATTATGGTTTCTCTTTGATGAGGATATGAGTAATAAAGAAAAAAATTGACCCTAACTAGAAGAAATGGTCTCCTGAAGAAGGAATTATATCTATGAATATTCAGAACCTTGCCAACTGTCTCTCTTGGAAAGTACCATATTCTAGACAGAGTAGCAAAGCTTGTATAATTATTCTATTTCCATTTTTTTATTTTAAAAGTTTTTTGAAGCATAACCTTTAATGATGTTAGTGCTTTTGGGTACCATTATTTCATTTAATTTAACTCTTTGCTAGGACAGTCAGAATATTTTTCTCTTATGTTGAACTCAGTGTATTATCAATGTAAAGTTTCATAAATTTTTGACTTCTATATCTGCTTTCAGAGTGATAAGTTTAGAAAAAAATTTTTTTAACTATTAAATACATTTTTCTAATTGCCTACTGCTTAATTCAGTAGCTTCAGGAAAACTAAATAGGACAAATAACTTGTTACAACATCAAGATAGCCAGCATCGATTGGGACATATGAACATACAAGAATTGACCATATCATAATTTGGATGTATGGGTGATATGTTTATAGAAAACAGGAAAGACAAATGATCAGTGTAATATTTCAGTTTTTTTTGTGTGTGTGTGTGTGTTTTTTTAATATATTTTATTGATTTTTTACAGAGAGGAAGGGAGAGGGATAGAGAGTTAGAAACATCGATGAGAGAGAAACATCGACCAGCTGCCTCCTGCACACTCCCTACTGGGTATGTGCCCGCAACCAAGGTACATGCCCTTGACCGGAATCGAACCTGGGACCCTTGAGTCTGCAGGCCGACGCTCTATCCACTGAGCCAAACTGGTTAGGGCAATATTTCAGTTTTTAAAATAAGCAAAAGAGAGATCATTTACCAATGAAGTTAGTCCCATTAGGGAAGTTCACTAGAATAAAGGATGCTGTTTGAATGCTAGCAAAAAAGTATTACATTGTTAAACTATACTTTTAAAGTTAAAACTATAACTCATACAGAGGTAAAATGAACAAGTTAAGGATTTTGTTCAAGTCATTAACTAATGAGGGAACCGGTAAGATGTTAAACTTAGTATATGATTTATACTAAGGATACATATAAAACTAATTTGGTGTCTTATAGTATAATCTATATTATAAAAGGCCTGTGGCCGTAATGCCATAATGCTGTAATGACCAACAATCTGACGGGGAACCGGGTGAGTGGCAGCAGTGGCTGGAGCAAAGCAGCCCAGGTCCTGGGTGGGTGGCAGCAGTGGCCTGAGCAAAGCAGCCTGGGTCCTGGGTGGGTGGCAGCAGTGGCCTGAGCAAAGCAGCCTGGGACCTGGGTGCCTGGCGGCGGTAGCCAGAGCAAAGCAACCCCAGTTCCGGGTGCCAGAGGGAAGCTGGTGCCAGCAGCTGCAGGAAGGAAGGCCTACTCTTACACGAATCTTCATGCATCTGGCCTCTAGTCTATATATATATAAGCCTAAGTGACTATTATGACTGAATAACTGGAACAACCAGTTGACCAGTCGCTATGATGCTCACTGACCACCAGGAGGCAGATGCTCAACACAGGAGCTGCCCCCTGGTGGTCAGTGCACTCCCACAGCCAACTTCCTGCAGTCCCTCCCCGCAGCCCGCCAACTTCCTGGAATCCCATCATCAGTAGTTGAATAATAAAGTTCACAAATACACGAGTCCCTCCCCCGGATCTGGACTGGGTGAGACAGCCCTGATAGGCCCTGATTGCTGGCCAGGCCTAGGAACCCCACCTGTGCACGAATTCATGCACCAGGCCTCTAGTAAATCATAAACATTGAGGCTATTCCATTGGACAGACATTATTTGAATCTACTGGATACAAATCAACAAATTACTCATTGTACCTATGGAACTATAAATTAGCCATGTTGATAGAAATTCAAATGCAGAACCATACTGAAAGAATAACCATTAATATATTTTTTCTATTTCCAAGTATTGAATAATTTTTCTGAGGAGTGATAGTTCATTGTTTTGCTTCCCATAATTTCAAGCATTACATCATCAGTAGTTGAATAATAAAGTTCACAAATACACATATTTTTTCTCCCTTTTTGTAGTATAACCCAAAAAGAAAGAAAAAAGAAAAAACCTTTTTAAGAGTATCCCCGAAGATGGCAAACCATAGATAATTTACCCTATCTCCATGAATATCTTCTATT